CTTCCAGAGGTCCTGAGTTCAATTCCCAGCAACCACCTGGTGGCTCACAACCATCTGTAATGAGATCTGGTGCCCTCTTGAGATGTGCAGGCAGAACACTGTATACTTAATAATAAATAAATAAAATCTTAAAAAAAACTTAAATCCAACAATTCAAAAAGTTGGCTTCTGTGTATGGGTAGTATATGTGCATACGTGAACCAGTACAGTGTCCCCATGGAGAAGCCAGTGGAGGATGTTGAGTGTCTTCCTCGATCACTCTTACCTTATTTTTTATAGTTTTTTTTAAAATTTTATGTGTATTGGTGGTTTGCCTGCATGTACGCCTGTGTGAGGAATTCAGAATCCATGGAACTGGAGTTACAGACAGGTGTGAGCTGCCATGTGGGTTCTGGGACCGGGTCCTCTGGAAGAGCAGTCAGTGCTGTCAACTGCTGAGCCATCTCTCCAGCCCCCAACCTTACATTTTATTTACTATGGCCTTTCACTGAATCTGAAGCTCACTGTTTTGGCTAGGCCAGATGACCAACAAGCTTCCAAGATCCACCTGTCTTTGTCCCCCAGTGCTGGGGTTGTAGGCACATGAAGCCATGCCCAACTTCTACACAGGTGCTCTCAAGTCCTCTTGCTTTTACAGCAAGTGATCTCAACCACTGAGCCATCTCCCCAGCACTCTAAAATTGGCTTTTTAAAAGTGTTGCTGTATTTTTAAGAGCAAAATATGGGCTCAATTGTAATGTTCAATGAATGGTGTCTGGTGCAAGAAACGATAATATATGGCATGCAGCTGTAAAAATGAGCAAGGAAGATTTTAGTGAGCTTTCTTGTCAGGACCACCAGCCCTCAAATTACAACACTGATACTTAATCATGAAAGCTTGGTGCTAGCCTAGGCTTTTTCCTAAGTAGCTTTTGTAACTTACATTAATCAGTTTCTATTAATCTACTTTCTATCACATGGCTCAGTTACCTCTCCTCTGTGCCATATGTCCAACTGACTCCACATCCTTCTGGCACCTCCTTTAAGTGCCTAGATTCACCCTGAGTTCCTCTCTTTGTCTGGAAGTTCTGCCTATTCTCTCCTACTTAGCTATTGGCCATTCAGCTCTTTATTAAACCAATCAGAAGGCACTTTGGCAAAGACGTATCGTCACAGTGTACACAAATATACCACAACAGAAAATCTCCATGTTTATGTGGAGAGAGCTTTACAATATACCAATGATTGAAAAAGGCAGATATAGAACAGTGTATATAGTAGGCTACTTACTATGTTATAAGGTGAAAGAAAATATATATTGCATATGCTCATATTTGCCTTCATAATCCTAGAAGCAGGGGTTAGCAAGATAGCTCAGTGATTCAGAGCACACAGCGCTCTTTTGGAGGACCTGGATCACAACCGCCTGTAACTCCAGCTCCAGAGTATCTGATGTCCTCTTCTAAATCTCATAGGCACAGGCATACACATATGTACACACACATGCACACATACACAGTTAGTGTAACATTCTAAAACAAGCAAACCATAGAAGCAGAGCATCAAAGATGAAGAAGAGGGAATAATGTAAGAACCTGAAAATTTCAGGTGAGTGACAGAATTTGGACTAGTAAGAGTTTTTGTTGTTATTTGTTTTGTTTTTTAAACAAATAACCAAAAAAACCAAAAAAAAAAAATCTCCAAAAATACCACCGAATGAGTTTTGTGTTGGCCACATATTGCTGGGTATGGGGTCTGCCTTTATGTGTGGTTTGTACACCTACTGAGATTCCACTGGGGGGAAACTAATTTTTCGTTTGTGGGAAATTGTGAATTAGAGATAGTTTCTTAGTTAGAGATGGGAGCTCATGTCCATTTCTCCCTTTGGTGCTGGGAGGTCATCTGGCGTGGACCAATACAGGCCATGTGCACGTTGTTATAGTCTCTGTGAGTTCATACGAACATCAATCTGGTATTGTCTGAAAGACACTGTTTTCCTTGGTACCATTTGTACCCTGTGGCTTATGCAATCTTTCTGCCTACTCCCACATAACTCCCTGAGTCCCAAGGAGAGGAGTTCAATGAAGATATCCCATTTAAAATGGTGTGTTTCAAGGTCTCTCACTTTCTGCATGTTGTACAGTTGTGGGTCTCTGTATTTGTTCCCAGGCATAGCAGAAGGAAGCTTTTCTCATGCTATTGAGCAAGACACTGATCTATGGGTATAGCAGAATGTCATTATAAGTCATTTTATTGTTACACTCCTTTAGTAGAACACTAGTATTTGGTTTTCCCCTAGGCCCATGGCCTATCTAATCCTACATTCTAGACCACCTATTGGGTTAGGCATGGGTCCCATCTCATGGAGTGGTCCTTAAATCCCATCAGATAGTGGTTGGTTACTCCCACAGCATTTGGACCATAATTGCACCAGCATATCTTGCGGGCCGTCACTGTTCGTAGTTTGGAAGGTTTGTAGATGGATAGATGACTACCTTTCTCCTCTAGTAGCATGCAGAATACCTTCCGATACCATAAATACTAGTCAGTAGGGGTGAAAGCTCTAGAAAGGTACCAGGTCAGCTTCTCCATGTTCAACAAAAGATGTGTTATCTTCAGCAATAGGACTTTATCATCAGTTTGGAAAGAGCAACTGATAGGTATGGCAATAGCCCGAGTTGTTTGGGGTTTCATGGGCCTCTTTAGCCAACGACTCAATTAGCTATATAACCTATTCTTGGCAATAGAGGTTTTACTTGGTGGAAAGAGATGTGCAGTTGAGGCTTTGTCTCCCCTGTTATTTGGTGATTCTTCCTTATGGTTTTTAATTCTACTAAATGGTTCTTCACTGGGGAGTGGTGTTGCATGCCTATAATCCCAGCACTTGAGAGGTAGAGGCAGGTGGATCACTGAGTTCAAGACCAGCCTGGCCTACAGAGTGAGTTCTAGGGCAGGCAAGGCTACATAGAGAAACTCTGTCTCAAATAAACAAAAAAACAGTTCTTCATAAATGATATGGTGCTTTTGATCCTATATAAGTGAGGTGCTAATTTCTTGCTATTTGAAATAGCTTATTTTTAAAGTTATATCAATTAATATAGTTAATAAGTATTGTGCCATTAAATGTTTTCCTTTAAAAGAGTTTCTGTGGCCATGGTGTCTCTTCACGGCAATAGAAACCCTAACTAAGATATATACCAGGCTGTAAACAACTTAGAGAAGTCACATGGACCCGGGTGGGCAACGCAGGCAGCTGGACTGTGCCCAGAGTCAGTGCAGAGGGATGGGCATGGGTCATACTGTTAAAGCTAGCAGCAGTGGAGGCAGATGGAGCAACCTGAGGGCAACAGAGAGGAGACAGAGGTGCTGATTTAAGCAAATCAAACTCACAAAGAGCTGATTTATACGTAGACATGCCATCTTTCATCCAGCTTAAGATTAGTGAAGTGTTTTGTTTTGTTTTGTTTTGTTTTTCTTCTACATTCGGTCAGTCCTGTGACAGAGTAAACTTTGTAGGCAGACCTTTCTATCCCACCAGCCAGTTCCCAAATAACTCCACAGAGACTTCTTATTGATTATAAAAGCTTGGCCAATAGCTTAGGCTTGTTTTTTAGTTAGCTCTTATAACTTAAATTAACCCATTAACTCTTTTCATGCTGCTTCTTCTGTGCCTGGCTGGGGACTCCTGAGACTCCTCCCTTCTTCTTCCCAGTATTCTCTCTGCCCTGAAAATCCTGCCTAGCTACTGGCCATTTAGCTTTTTTATTTAAGTGATTATAGTGACATATATTCACACTGTGTAAAGTCATATTCCATAAGACTTAATGCTGGTGATGAGGACAACAGATACCATTTTCAGTGTCTGGGCAGTGTTGGATAAACCATCCTCCTGTGCCTGTCCCCCACGCCTCCTGCCCCTCCCCTCCCCCTTCACCTCTCCACTTCAAGCTCTAGGGTTACAGACACCTGTAACTCGGCTGGTTTTCTACATTGGTGCTGGGAATTTGAACTCAGGTCCTTATGTTTATGATTAATATGCACAGCAAATTAATCTTACCTGCTGATCCATCTCCCAGTCCCTCTCCCAATTTTTTTTAAAACACAATTGTGTTGTTTCCAAATGTGAATATAGACAACCTCAAATACATGAAGAAAAAGAAAATAATGTAAAATAAGGATTTTTAAAAGGTAGAAAAATTGGGGGTGGGGCAGGAGTTTCATGTTAAAATGCAATCGCTAACAGGTGAGTGTTTCTGGGGTGTCTAGTGACTGTCATATTCTATCCCTGTCTTTCTTCAACCTATTTACAGCAAAGGCACTGGCCACAGGCAAGGCATCAGTCATTAATCAAGAAAATGCCCATAGACATACCCGTAGGCCAATCTGATGGAGGCATTTCTTCAGTTGAGGCATTTCTCAGATAATTCTAGCTTGTCTCAAGTAGACATAAAATTAACCCACACCACCTTATACAAAGTAAAAGCCAAGATCTTTGCAGCCCCCGCCCCCCTTTTGAGACAAGGTCTCTATGTGTAGCCCTGACTGTACTGGAACTCACTCAGTAGACCAGGCTGGTCTCAAACTCACAAGAGATTCACCTACCTCTGTCTTCTGAGTGTTGGGATTAAAGGCATGCGCCACCACCATTTGGCCTTCACAATGCTTTTAATGATTATGAAATACGTCATTCATCAGTGTGCTTTAGTGTGAATTGATTTCAGAGCATGACCCCCCTTCCTCCTCCATTTTGCAGATCAGACTCTGAGCTGTCCTCATGCCAGGGTCCTTGCTCTTATCCCTCTGCCTGGAGCTCTCCTCTTCAGTCAGAGCTTCATGGCCTCACTCAAACACCATCTTTCCTGTTTTTTTTTTTTTTATTTAAGTTTCTTTTAATGTGTTTCTTTTTCATTTTGTTTCTATTATTATTATTATTATTATTATTATTATTATTATTATTGTGTGTGGGGTGTGTGTGTGTGTGTGTGTGTGTGTGTGTGTGTGATACTGTATGCAATAGACTCTCCATAGAGTTGAGATTTGTTTTGTTCTCTGCCCAGGGATGGAGTGACAGCAGTGTTCAATGAATTCAAGGAGATGCTAGGTGTTTCTCCATCTACCATCTCATGTGCATTTTCTGACAAAGGTTTGATTTTCATTACTGTATTTTACCAATGATGGACATTATTACAGATGATGTTTTTATATTGGGCATTGATTTTCCCTGAAATTAAAACTAAACTAAAGCACCTTTCATTTCTTCCAGCTGGAATTTGGACAACACATTTCACATGTGGCTATCCTTTACAGGCACCTGAGAGAGGCTAAGATTTAAAGAAGTTGTTTGGAGTCTTTTTCTCAGCACAGGCAACATTTACCACTTCTGAATTAAAACAAATGATGGATTTCCACCTAAGTTCAAATTGACCTTTGCTATTTTCGCCTGACTTCTTCAGCCCTCATAACTCATTTTAAACTTTGTTTCAATGATGTGGCGCTGCTCTCTGCCTTTGCCTTTGCTGCAAATAAGGCCCGCCCACTGAGTCTCTGCTTCCCACAGCAGTAGACTTGCAGACTGCAGAGTCATTTAATAGTGTTCGTGAAGAAAAGTTGATGACTCACTGCACAGCCCCTGGGGAGGGAGGAGGTGATTGCAAACAATTTAGAACACGGCAAGAAAGCCTAGCATGACTGCCTTGCAGCAATCAAACACCTACCACAAAAAAAAAAAAAAAGTCTTGTCTGAACTTGATTGAATGCTGATTTAATTTTTCCAGAAATATGTTAGCTGAGCAGTCTGCTGGGCTCAACACTATTTCCCTTACTCTGGCAGAGTGGAAGTTGTAACCACACTAAGTTTTATAGCTTCAGATAATATGTATTCGGAAAAAAAGATCTCCCTAAAGATTTTTTTTTATCTCAAAACATGTGATTCTAATTTTATAGGAGGGGATGTCACTGTTTTATTTGAATTCTTATGAAAAAAAAAGCATTTTTGGTTTGCTTTTGCTTTTGCTTTCTAAAATAGAAACCAAGATCTAATACACATCAGCCATCTAAAGTGGATGCAGGGAACAGTTGCCATGGGTAAGACCCCCAACCCTCCACCCTCCCCAACTTGCCTCTTGCTGCCTGAAATCTTGAAAAGTGGGGATGGCTTTGCTTGTGTAAGGACTTCATTTGTGGGGCTGGGAGTATAGTTCCAGGGTAGAGTGCTTGCTAAGACCTACAAGACCTGGGCTGGATCCCTAGCATGCAAAAGGAAATCCATCTCTTCACAGGTTGGAGAGGCGGCTCAGCTGTTAAAAGCATACTGCTAGTCTTTGTTTGTTTTCTGTTGCTGCGATATACACATTAACCAAAAGCAAAGCTGGGGAGAAAAGGCTTTATTTCAGCTTACAACTTCTGGGCCATACTCTATCACTGTGAGAAGCCAGGGCAAGAGCTCAGGCCGGAGCAGATGCAGAGGCGGTATAGAGGGGTGCACCTTACTGACTTGCTCCTCATGGATTGCTCAGCTTGCTGAGGACCTCCTGCGTGGGATGGCACCATGTATAGGGAGCTAAGCACTCCCACATCAACCATAAATCAAGAAATTGCCAGACATGCTTGGTGCTTTCGGGTCAGTCTAATGAAGCATCTTCTCAATTAATATTCCATCTTCTGGTCTGTGTTGCCACTCAAGGTCAGGCAGATTTCTGTGGTCTATGTTGCAGCCTGGAGCCATGTTGATGTCCATGACCACAGCTACATCTCAGGCCTTTGTCTGGGTCCTTGGCCATACTGCAACTGGGAGCCCTGTTAATGGTCTTTGCTGAAACCAGAAGCCAAGTGGAAGCCCATGATCCATGCTCCCTTGGTTCCTAAACAGCAAATAAGCTACTTTGGCAGTGATATCGATGACTGGAGATGCACAGTTGAGAAAGAGGGACATGGAAGACTTCTGTGACAACCCCTACCTCCACCTTCATCCACCTCTCCCAAAATAGTAACAGCCTAAACAGGAAACCATCAAAAAGAACACTTAAACTGTGATAGGATGCTCTCCACACCAGATAGCTTCCAGAAGGGTTGCGGGAGGGGAAGGACTCAGTCCTATTTAAGTGACAGGCCACTGAGAGTTTGCACATGTTCTGGTGAGTATATAAACAACACAAATTGGACTTTTTTTTTTTCCTGGCAGGGGGAGATGACAAGGTGTCAGGGGTGGGGGGAGGGTGAACAGGGAAGGACTGGGAATAAAATGTGATAGGGGTGTATGATGTGAAATCCCCCAAAAACCAACAAAAATATTATGTTGGAAAAAAGTATTCCATCTTCCCAGATGAGCCTAATTTGTGTCAAACTGACAAGTAACCAGCACACTGCTTTTGCAGAGGTCTGAAGTCTGATTCCCATCACCCATATCTTTGACTCAGAGGCACCTATAGCTTGAGTTCTGGGGGATCCCACACCTGTGGTCTCTGTGGGTACCTGCACACATATACCGCCTCATACACAAATAATTAAAAGTAATAAAATTAAATATTTTAAAAATATTAATGGTCCCATTTGGGGTTACTGCTTAAATTTCCTTGATTGCTTTTACCCTAATGGCTATGGCCTTTGTGGAGGACTGTGGAAGGTCCCTCACTGTACTGTAGCTGAGATTTTTGAGGGTGGGAATAGTGTTAGGAACTAACTAGATAAAGAAGTGGTGGGATAGTGTTCCAAGCAGCGGGACAACATATGCAAAGAAACAAGGAACACATTTTCCTCATATGTCTTTACCACTTTAGGACAGGGTCTAGTGCTTTGTTTTGTTTTGGTTTGGTTTTGATTTTTTTGTGACAGGGTTTCTCTATGTAGCTTTATAGACCAGGCTGGCCTCGAACTCAGAGATCCTCCTGCCTCTGCCTCCTGAGTACTGGGATTAAAGGCGCGTGCCACCACTGCCTGGCTGGTTATGATTTTTATATTATCTTTATTAAGTTATTTTAAAGGAGTCATCCTTTTCAAATTCACCATTTAGGTCTACTAGTGCAGCATTGTTTGATTCTGACATATCTGATAGTTCTTTAGTCCAAGAGGTTATCCCAGTGTCTCAGTGGTTCCAGTCTGGTGCTGAAGGCCATGAGGATTCTGGGAGTGCTGCTGGTCTTCAGTCTACATTGGAATCCTGAAGAAGTGGTGTTGAATCCTAGGGAAGGAATGCCTTAGCAAGAGGATAGGTGAATGTCCCAGCAAAAGTGAGGGCAAGCAGGCAAAAAGCAAAGCGTTCTTCTTCCATGTCCTTTTATTTGGGATGCTACCAGAAGGCGTCACCACATTTAGAGTGGGTCTTCCCACTTCAAGAAAAACCCTACAGGAGTGCCCAGCTTGTCAAGCTGACAACCAAGGCTAGCTGTCATAGGCAGTAAAAACTCTTAATCACTGACCCACCTCTCCATTACTTGGGAATAGACCATTGAGTAGATTTACCTGATTTCTACTTATGAGCACAGAGAAGGGAGCTGATAGATGGGAGGGTGAGGGAGTGTAAACCTAGAACACAGACAATTCAGAAGAGTTTCTCCTTTTAAAAAAGAGATACCCGGGGGAAATCTATTTCTTAGTACAAAGCCAGTTAGTAATTGATGCAGGAAATAGTCCAGTTGACTGAGTTCTGACACTATCTTTTTCAGTTGATGGTACTAATATTTAAAAGAGCAATGATTTCCAGGAGGTGGTGGCACACACCTTTAATCCCAGCACTCCGGAGGCAGAGACAGGAGGATCTCTATGAGTTGGAGGCCAGCCTGGTTTACTGTAGTTGGAATTTTCTTCGGGCCAATAACCAGCTCCCAAATAAAGACATGGAGACTTATTATTAATTATGAATGCTTTGCCTTTGTTTAGGCTTGTCCCACTAACTCTTTTAACTTAATTTAACCTGTTTCTATTCATCTATGTTTTGCTTCCAGGGCTTTTTACCTTTCTTTCATTCTGTATGTCCTACTTTGCTGCTTCTTCCAAGTCTGGCTGTCTGGCCCCTGGCATCTCCCTGGTATTTCTTTTCTTTCTTAACCCAAACCTAACTAAATTCCTCCTCCTACTTACTCTCCCTGCCCAGAAGTCTGGCCTATACCTCCTCCCTTGCTGTTGGCTGTTCAGCTTTTTATTAGACCAATCAGGTGCCTTAGGCAGGCAAGGTAAAACAGCAACACATCTTTATGTAATTAAACAAATGCAACACATCTCGTACATGGTTAAATATTCTGCAACAGTTTACAGAGTGAGTTCCAGGACAGCCAAGGCTACACAGTAAAACTTTGTCTAAAAAAACCAAAGAAGAAGAAGAGGGGAAAGGGGAGGAGGAGGAGCAATGGTTGAGTGCTTATGGTTTTTATCAGGCTTTCAGGGACATGGGTTGCTTTGGGGAGCTAGTCCAACTCTGTTAACGGCAGTTGAGAAACTGACACAATATGGTAACAGTAGCAAGAACAAGACCTGTACATCTTGGATTTATTGTTATTATTACTGAGTCTTGTATGTATCCCAGGCTGGCCTCCAACTCCTGTCAATCTTCCTGCTCTAGTCTCCATTGCACTCAGCCAGCTTTTACTATATAAGCATTTGATGCTATTTTATCTGGGTTCCCACAGAAATAAGGCTCTGAGACAGATGTCTGTGTTCAGGAAATATAATCTAAAGGTTCTGTGGTCAGTATTTACAGGAGCAAGAGGCTTGTGGGCTGGGGAGAGTGGGAAATGAAACTGTGAAAGTTGTAATAAAGGTCAAGGGGCCCCATAGGGTGCTCCAGCTTGTGGCTGAGCTAGCCTTCTTCAAATCAGGAACTTTAGGCCTCAATTACCCTGCAGAACTTTAACAAGTCACTGGAGGTAGCCTGATTCTAGGGAGGCAGCACTGACCTAAGGAAGTTGGGCAAGGACAGTTCTGGTTGGATTTAGCTAACGATTGTGAAGTCCACCACTCCCAGCAGCTGGAGAAGTGAGTGCCAGTTCTGAAGATCTGTATTCCACAGCCTCCACTACATTGCTCAACATAGCTTGGTAATGATGTTTTCATATGCACTCTTGAATTCTCCTACTAATTAACATGATCCTTGTTAATAGATACTCAACTCAGTTTTATTGTAGCTCAAAAGAAGTATAGGGATAACTATATAACTCAGTGGGATTTTCCTAGCATAAATGAGGCCCTGAGTTAGAACCCTAGCATGTTCCCCACATGTATACAATGGAGAATATACCAATCAGAAGATACATAATATTTATGAATATTAATGGTGGTTTAAAAAGAGTAACTTGTGGGACTGGAGAGATGGCTTAGCAGGTAAGCATGATGGCTGCTCTTCCTGAGGACCCGGGTTTCAGTACCAGCATCCACATGACTACTCACAACCTTATAAAACTCCAGTTCACAGAGATCTGATGCCCTCTGTGGCCTCCATGGGCATCAGGCACTCACATGGTACACACACACACACACACACACACACACACACACACACACACACACGTAAAACATTCAAGCACATGAAATAAATAAAAAAACTTAAAAAGAAGAACCTGTATGGCATGCCCTCCCGTCTTAGCTAAAGCTAAAATTTGAAATTAGGAATATTGTTTGTTTTATGTATAGGAATATTATATGTATATGTATACACACATACAGTAGTTGGAGTTAGAAACAATTTTGAACCACCCAACATGGCTTGCAGGAGTGAAACTGGGTCCTCCGGAAGAGCAGTAAGTACTCTTAACCACTAAGCCATTTCTCCATCCCCTATATCATAATCTTTTTTTTTTTTTTTTTTTTTTTTTCGAGGCAGGGTTTCTCTGTGTAGCTTTGGAGCCTATCCTGGCACTTGCTCTTGTAGACCAGGCTGGTCTCGAACTCACAGAGATCCGCCTCTGCCTCCCAAGTGCTGGGATTAAAGGCGTGCGCCACCACCACCGGGCTTTTATTTTATTTTTTTTATCTTAACATTAAGAACTATGTTTACTTTTTAATTGTCAATGACCAATCAAAATGTGTATCAGTGGATATGAGGAGGTTAGAAACCAACAAGTTATGTTAAGATAAAAGAACATGAGGGTACTTTCAAAGATACACTTTCCACAAATAGGAATCTGAGAGGGAAACCCCAGCTAACTCAAAGTGATTGTCCTTCATTTGTGTTACCCAGGGGCACAGAGCAAGTAAATCAATATCCTTAAGCCTACTCTTAAAAGAAATGGTCATTATTTTAAAATCTTCCTAAATCTTTTCCTTTAAGAAATAGATAAAATAAACTTCTAAATCTGAGGCAGTATGAAGATTTGATGACAAAATTTGACATGTCATGGCACCTTTTAAAACTGTGATTTTGCGGGCTGGAGAGAGATGACTCAGTGGGGAAGAGGATTGGCTGCTCTTTCCAGGTTCAGTTTCCAACATCCACATGGCAGCTCATAACTGCCTGTAAGTCCAGTTTCAGGGAATCTGACATCTTCCCACAGACATACATGCAGGCAAAACATGAATGCCCATTAAATAAAACAAATAATTTAAGAAAATGAGACTTTAAAGCTGGGGAGATGGCTCACTGTTAAAATGATTGCTTGCAAACATGAGGACCTGCATACTATCCTTAGAGTCAACATTTTAAAATGTCAGAGGTGATATTTTCTTTATGATCTAACAAAAGATATGATCTTCTATCTCTTGCCTGAAGATAAGAGTTCAAAGCTAGCCACAGCCATAGAGGCCAGGTAGTGGTGGTACACACCTTGAATCCCAGCACTTGGGAGACAGAGGCAGATGGATCTCTGTTAGTTCAAGGGTACCCTGGGCTACATAAGGTCGAATCAGTCTAAAAGAGAAAAGGAGCTCACACCTTTGATGCCAGCACTTGGGATAATGCAACTTTAATCTGAGCACTAGGGAGGTGGAGACAGGAGTGATATGGCTGGGCAGAGAGAGAAATATAAGGTGGGAGGATAGGAACTCATGGAGTATGAGGTTTGGTGGAGAGCAGTGAGTCTGAGGAGCAGTGCAGTTGGGAGCAGTCTGAGATTTGGTGGATCTCACCTTTTGTCTGAGCATTGGTAGAGGTGAGAACTCTCTAGTGGCTGGTCACTTTGCTTCTCTGATCTTCAGCTTTAACCCCAATATCTGTCCCTGGGTTTTTATTAATCGTGTTACAGTCAGG